AAAAAGACACAGAAATGCATTCGCTCAGCATATTAAAGTGCCTGCAAGCAGGCACAGGGGCTGGGGCTTTGATCCCTGGGACTGCTGTGCCAGCCCCGCCCCTGGGGTGCACTGGAGACAGCAGTTGAGACTGGGCGTGGTGACATGCCTGTAATCCCAGCTCTTAGGAGGCTGTAAACAGGAGAATCACTACAGAGTACAATCTAGTGGTGAGACCCTGAACCCCCTGTAGACCCTTCCCTAAAATACAAAAAAAAAGAAAAGAAAAAGAAATGCATTCAGGAAAGTGTCGTTTGAGCACCTAGTTCTTACTGCCTTAACAAGACCAGTCACAGCAGATGAAGCATTTGTGGTGCTCCCGAGGCCCTCTCAAAGTGCAGCCGGGAGTGCCACCTGGCAGGTAGAGCCCTAGCACTGCCTCATGCCTGGCCAGCCCACCGTTCAGCACAAGAAGCCAAAGCCGCCTGATAGCTACAGCCAGGCCGCATCTGTCGAGCTGGCAATGACTCCTGTGGGAACAGAGCCAGCGAGCCTGGGTGAGGGGAGCAGGAGTCAGGCAGGAGAGAAAAGCAGAAAGCTAAGGATACTGTGTGTGGTGACACAAAAGACTTAACAGGCCTTAATTTCTACAGCAAAGCACGGAGGAACGCACTGTGGAAATGCGTGGCGGCCTCTAGCTGCCTGATGTTGCAAGGCTGCTCCATGGGAGACTCTAGGCAACCAAGAGGGGTGTCGGGCAGCTGCCCCACCTGCCAATCTTCCTCACACAACGTCCCCCTGTGGGGATAAGGACAGACAAAGGCTCTTCTTCTGTGTCTCTGTTCACTCCAGGCAGACGAATTCTGTTGCTGCTATTGTCTGAGACAGGGTCTCACTGTATCGCCCAGGTTGACCTTGGGCTCATGGGCTCAAGTGTCTCAAGTAGCAGGACTACCAACACATGCCACCAGGCCAGGCAGCAGATGAGTCTTAAGGTGGACTTTCAATCTCTACTTTTCTACGTGAAGGAGGAAAAATCTTTTAGATCACAGATTCCTAAGGTTAAGGATCAGACAACTGACTGACTTCCCGTTGACCCACCTCATCTCAAATCAGCCCCGCTGCTTTTAGCCTCCGGCCATACACAGCACAGTTTCCTTCTCCCCCATAAACAAGATTATCTGTGTCACAATTTCCCTAAATAGGATACTCTGAGCATTTCCTTTCTTTTATCTTTATTGGTGTGAGTTCCACTAAGGCACGGACTCTGCTATCTGACTTCTGTTTCCAGAGCCTGGCACAGTAACTTAGTCAAAGTCTGGAGAGGAATTGCTCACATCCACAGCAGCCTAGCACGAACACTGGCAAGTATTTAGTGCTCTGTATAATGTCATTCACTAGAACATTACCTCTATCATCTCCCACAAATATTATTTTCTATGACATTTATCACATTAAGCATCCTAATAATGTTTTTTTCAGTGCACCCTCTCTCTATATACAAAGTCCCTGGAAGCAGGAAACAAGGGTTTTGTTTTACCCATCATCCTTTCACCTAATCAAAAAATGACTGAAAGGGCTGGCGAGATAGCTCAGCGGACTAAGTGCCTGCTTTGGCAAGCTCAGGGACCATGGTT